GCAGTTGGCAAACTGTTATGTCAGTCACCAGCAGGAGGACTGTGTCTGTCTATAGTCAAAGTAGGCCAACACGTTTTTGTTCAGGAAGGACAGAAACAGAATATCTTTTGAAAGTAAAATGTTTATTTTTACACTTTTCCAGCATAAATTGGCACCTTTGCCAGTCATAAAAACCATGGCCAGAATGCTCCAAATTGCAACATTAAATAAAAATCAGAGGGGCGTGCCCACGGAACCCCCTAGGTACCCCCTAGGAACCCCCTCGCTTGGCGCTCTTCACCGTGCAACCTGCATACCAGTAAAAAACAAAACGCCGTAATCTCAAAGGCCGATATCTGTAGAAGTAGAAACTCTTTACAAAGCTGACCCTGTCATGTAAGGCCTTCAGTAACACAATAAACAAGTGATCTCTGACTCTGAAGAACAGAAACACTTGAGCCTGAGGGCTGTTGCTCTCTTTAGTAACAACGCTTGGTTGTTCTAATTGGATTAACTTGTTTGAGTGTTTCCAGACAGACTCCCCCCCACACACCTGGTTCCCCACACCCCCTCCAGCCTCTCTGCAGTTGGAGGTAGCAGTGCATGTTTAATGGTGGCTCTGTGAGGTTAACTTCTGCACTCATTTGTTTTGCAGGCCTTTCTCCCTGGCTGCCCGTTCATGTCCATACATCCAGGACATCTCACTGACAAATGATTTACAGATGCTTTTCAGCTCAACACATCCACCTAACAAGCATGTAATGGCAGCCTGGGCCCAGTGAAATTTGTGAAATGAGCATGATGTCTTAAAACACAAACCCTGTGTGAAATGTCTTTCCCAGCAGGACTAGATTAGATAGAGTTTGACTTCCAAATAACACGGTGGAAAGAAGCATGTGGAGGTCTGTAGTGGTGATGGACAGATACTTCTGCTTTGAACTCCGGTGACCTGAGTTCAACCCCCACCTCAGAGCAGTTTGAGTGATCTTTTTTAACAAACAGTTATTCTCATTTAACCACGACTCAAACCAATTGAACTTATGTTTAAACCGCAACTCAAACATTAGTGCAGTACTTTACATATCCAAATTTAAAGTGGATAAAACATCCAAGTTCTAATCTTGCATGCCTGAGTTAATTGTTCTCCTGTTTCTTCTATCTAAATTATATCACATATAGGTCAAAAAAGCATGTTTTAGTAGGTATTGAATTCTGGTAACACCTAACAGTGTGGTACAAATAATGCTGAGGAAATCTTCAGGAACATCCTGATTATTGATGGATGACTAATAAGTTGTTCCTGAATAACTCTCATTGGAGGATTATGTGGTAGATAATGATGAGTTACCAAAGAACAGACTTCGAGACACCATGTTATTAAATCATTAAGTAATGATTAGTTCATAGCTTTAACTGGGAATTTACAATTAATTTCTTAAAGGTGCAAGATCCAAGAGAACATTTCCATAGCCTCTCAAAGGCTGTCAACATGTTAATAGCGAGCCGGTGGATCATAGGTAACAGTGCTAACAGAGCTAACTGCTGACAGAGCTAACAGCGTTTATCTGCGGGGGAAACCAGAGGCCTTCCGAATGACACTGTTGGTTAGGACGGCATTATCAGCTGTAACCGCCGTATAAGAGCAGAGCAGAGTGGTGGCCATCAGATAACCAGTGGGGCACACTCACTCTAAAATGCATTAACATGCACTAAAAGCAACCGCAGCCAGCCTGGCTCAACAAAATAAGGCAAGGCAAGTTTATTTGTATAGCACATTTCAGCAACAAGGTAATTCAAAGTGCTTCACATAAAACCATTAAAAGCATCAAAACATAAGGCAAAAGAAAAGGAGATTTAAAAACAAATAAGAACATTCATTGAAACAATAAAAACAGTGTAAGAAATAAAATACAGTAGTATACAGTAGTAAAATGCAGGAAATTGATTAATATATTAATTAATTAAGGAGAAGCTCATACGACAACTCATACATAAGGGGAGCGACTTCATTCTCTGCTTGGGAAGACTTTACTCCACTATATCTTTACTATATTAACGTTCATCATTTTAAATATAGCTCTTAAAATGACAAAAATGGCAGAATTTAAAAAAAAAAAAGTTCGGTGCTAACATATTAAAAGTAATGAACGTGTACATTTGTGGTGAACTGAGAGGGAAGCTGACACAACAGAAGAGAAGCTCTGGAAGCTATTGTGACTGAGCTAACGGATAGCTCGCCAGCTAGCACTTAGCCACTATATTGCAAGTACTCACTTACATCTGGTCCCCAACAGTTTCGCATGGAAGAGTGAATGTCACTTAGCAGTGGGATTTCTGAATAATAATAAAATAATTTTCAAAATATATAAAAATAGATTTGTAATGATATTCATTTTTACTCACTAAACAACCAACCAACAAATGTCACAGTCACAGTATACACAATCAAAAGCTGAGCATGTAAAAATGCATTCATTTGTGAAATTCTTCGGCTCATTATGTGCATGTTTGCCATGACAACTTATGTCACTGTTGAGGTGAAAACACAACACTATTACATTTCAATAAATGTAGCTTTTGTATTTGCTAATATACTGTAGGTCTCAGTGTACACTGGACAGCTGAAAAGTTAGATTAACTAGTGAAGTGCCCGTATGCAAGATCATTTTTCAAGTCAAGAAAGTTGCAGTTTGTAGTTGTAGTACCATTTAGTTCTATGTGAATCTGCTCAGTGAACTACATTTCTCGTCTCGCACAATGTTCGTCACCAATGTGGCCTTTACCTTGGCTGGCTAGCAAACTTAGCAATATTCAATGAACAAATGTAACATTCTTACCTCATGTTTTATCCAGAGACTCTTTATCAGACAGGAAGCAAAAGAAGGAGCGAGACCGGTTGTTCATGTGAGTTCATCCTAGTACGAAAACTACGCAACTTTTGGGTGTGTAGTCTTTGTATTTATGTCTTATGATTCAACAATTATGTGACAAAATGTAAAATACAAAATTATCTTTTAAATTGACAAACTGTAATTCATGGTACAATTTAAACAGGATCAAAAAAGTATTTGTCTCTCGGTATTGACTATTATAAATATTTTTTTCCAAAAACATGGTTTGTTTCCCACATTTGTGATTGTCTGCCCCGCCCTTGATTGAACCCTGCTGTGTCTAATCACCAGTGGTGGGCCGTCAGGGCCTTCAAGGCCTTCTCTGCTGGCCTAAACAGAATCACAAAGTTATAGCTATTTTATAATTTAATATTTTTTCTTAAATACACTACATGTATTATAATTTATAAAAATATTTTCCCCATTATCTTATGTTCTCATTGCACAGTTACTGTCTTCCTCAGTTGCTCTGCTTCCAGTGCAGCTTGTTTTAAGTAGAGCTTTTATCCAATCAGATCTCACCTGTGTCTCTAGGTAAGAAGAGAGGCAGAGGCCTGCAGACTCACAAGTGAATCCCTTTGCACTTTAAGTGAATGAGGACGATATTGTTGATTGTCATAGTGTTCAACCAATCAGATCTTTAGTTTGACATGTTGGGCGTATTCTTTGATGTGTCAGAGCCTGCTAGCTGGCCTACAAGTACGTGATTGGTCAGTGAGCTAGCCTGACATGTTGGGCGGTGACAATCCCAATATCTGCTGCCTCTGTCAGCGGACATTTTCAGCCTCAAACACATTAAAACGTATTCAAGAAATACAACTGGGGAGGCTCGACTGTCTTCACTGGCGTCCATGAATGGAGAAGGACTTCTTACTGGAACTAAAACACACGGATGTACTGAACAACCGTGAGATTAAACTCTTTATTAACAAAGAAAGGAGGATGCACTTTGTCTTTAAATAGTGAACAGCAGCTCTGGTAAGTTAAATGCTTTTGTTTTTACATCTGCAGTAGTGTTTAAGTTAAAGTGTTAAAGTTAAAGTGTTTAAGTTAGTGTTTAAGTTAAAGTGTCAAAGTGTTAAAGTTAAAGTGTTTAAGTTAGTGTTTAAGTTAAAGTGTCAAAGTGTTAAAGTTAAAGTGTTAAAGTTAAAGTGTTTAAGTTAAAGTGTCAAAGTGTTAAAGTTAAAGTGTTTAAGTTAAAGTGTCAAAGTGTTAAAGTTAAAGTGTTAAAGTTAAAGTGTTAAAGTTAAAGTGTTTAAGTTAAAGTGTTAAAGTTAAAGTGTTTAAGTTAAAGTGTTAAAGTGTTTAAGTTAAAGTGTTAAAGTGTTTAAGTTAAAGTGTTTAAGTGATCGTCTTTGAAGATTCATGTGTTTTTAAGTGGACTCATTTTCCCTCGGTGTTGACAGACGAATAAATCCGTCACTAACAAGAGCTCAGGTGTTGTGTATTTCCTGGAGGAAGTGATAGCGTTACTACTGTGTTCATGTGTCTATGGTGTCGTTTTTATGATACGGCTAATATTGTTCCCTCTGATGTGAATAATATTTGAATGGCCCGTGCTCTTCAGTGTGCGGTGGAATACGCGTTTTAGCTCAGCAGTTTTTTTAATGCATTGTCCGTTAATGACGCAGCATCCCGTGCGCGTATTCATGTATCTACACTCTGCAGTTAGTGTATTATTTATAGGTGTTGAGCTTAATTTGTAGACAAAACAAATAATAACTGTTGCAGGACAGCAGTGAAGGCCCAGTTATAAAATGCACGGCCCGCCACTGACAGCCAATAATCTGCTGCCTTAAAGGAACATTCTGCCATATCGCTCTCCATCAAGTCTTTATTTGCCAGAGCAGCTACACATAACCTGTGCAAATTTTAAACGGATGAGTTCTATAAAGATCCAAATGGAGATATTAGCTAGAGACCAAAGCCGTGTTTTGTTTCAGGCTGTAAGGTGGCCATTTTAACACGGTGGTCTCTGGGTTTAGCGGCCATGAAATCAAATAGCACTTCAACGTTGGCTTCATTTGGTATCAACAGCCATGTCTGTTGTTAAAGACTTGCATAAAGAAAAGCATGACCCATCTCTGCAAAAGGATTTTATTTTGGTTTCAGTCAAAAACACACTCAATATACAAGCAGACTGGATTTGATTGCAGCTATATTTCAAAAGTCATAAAGAAACATTTAGTTAATAAATACATTTTGCCCATGTCCATAAATGTGGTGGTGTGATTTTCTTTTCTCATCATATTTACAGAACACCATAAATAACTTCACGAGATGGAGCACATTTTAGGCTTTGACAAAAGGAAAATAAGTAAATCCAAACTTATATGTATAAATATAGGTTCATCTGAGGCGGACACGAAGAGAAAACTTGAATCCTGTTGTTCAAACACGCCCACGTAACAATAATGAACAGTGGCTTCAGGAGTCATAGTGAACACAATCAAGCTGCCTCACCGGCCACTCCAATGGGTTACATTGCATATGGTCTGTTGGTCTTCCTGCAGTCACTCAGATATGATCATGGAAACAATAGAACATGTCCTCAGATGATACTCAGGTTATGGTAGAAAATCAAAATGCTGCAGAATGTATATCAGGTGGTTCTATCGTCTTGCCAATCAAATACTGTATCAGATATCAAAGCAGCAGACTTCCCGTGTCCCCCATTAAATATGTCCAACGGTATCATGCTTCTCACTCTACAATCATATTCATCATGTAGCAGTCATCAATGGGCCTCTTTCTTTACTGCAAGATACCAAACGTGAGAGAAAAGACACATCTAGAGAATGGCTTTGCATATTAGTAACATTAACAGGACTTTATTTCAGGGCCAAGCTGTGCTCCGCATTGTGAACCATACCCAACCCTGTCGTCTCTCCTCCAACAAGGTGACCTCTTCACAAAATGTCCATCTCTCATAGTGCAAAAGGTTACACACACTGGGAGGATGTGAGAGCTGTTTCCCATCGTACTCATTCTTTCCCCCTTTTAACAGACAGCCCATTAGAGCTGAATCGACGTTGTGTTGCTGTAGTTTAGCTCTATAATGAAGCATCTATTTGAAGAAAGAGATCGGTCTGATGGAGAAACGGGCCAACAGGATCCACAATAAGGCTTAGTAGTAGTGTAACCAGCTCTGTGTGACTGCGTGTGTCAGATGAGTGTTAGCTGCCGTTGCTGATAATGACAGAGGTGCCTTTATGTCCCGGGGTCTGCTCTGCCGGGATGCGAAGGTGAGGGCTCACGTCGTAGTGGGTGGGGCCCGTGCTGGTGGAGGTGCAGTAGCCCCGGAGGCTCTCTGGGTCATAGAGGTTCTCCAGAGCGTAGCCCGTCAGGGAGTAGGCTTTATGCTTGTCCAAGTAGGGCCGCGGGTGGGTGTGGGGGGGGTAGAGGGCCGAGGCGGGGGAAGCCGAGCACGGACCCGGCCGACCAAACGGGTGGTGCAATGGCAGAGAAAGGGGGGATGGGTCCGTCTGGAGGTAGTCTTTGGGCTTATGGTGGTGCTCAGGACCTGGACTGCTGAGTCTGGACAGGGGGGCGGGACTAGGAGCAGGGCTGATCACCTGACTCAAACCTCGACACACAACGGTCTGCAGAGGCTCCTGCGTATACTCAGGAGTGAAGCATGGTCCGGGGCCCTTGGGCAGCCCGTTGGCCGGCCCCAGCGGGCCCTTGCGCAGCTGAAATCGACTTTCTTCTTCCTTGATCATCTGCTGAGTGGCCCGGATTAGAGTCTCGATCTTGCTGGGTTCCTGCGGGCTACGCAGGTACTGGTCAGCCTGGTACCGATCCCCCGAGTCACTGGCTGATCCTCCATCTGGAGAGCTGACCACGCTGTCCTCGTCCCAGTGGCCCCGGCCTGCAGGAGGACACGATGCCAACAGTCAGTGCACAGCAAAAGATACCTTACTTAAATGCTGTTTCAACAATAACATTATATGCTGGGGTTTCAAGTCCTGTTCAACTTTTGACCAATTTGTTGCTGCTTTTAAAAGGTTTACACTTGAATTGTAATTCCTGTTTTCAAGATTCTTTACCAAGTTGGTGGTGTACAATTTATTATTTTAGTACTAAATAACACTTCAGTAAATTTATATCTATTTGCTTATTTGTTACATGTTGTAGATAACAGAAGGATCCCAGTTATCGGATCAGTACTAGGTATCAGTACTGAAAAAGTCGGATCAATGCGTCCCTAGTCACTATAGACTGTAACTGATTAAGATGGAATACATTCATCTTCAACAAATTGTATATAAGAGGTGACGAGTGCCTCCTTAAATAAGTGTTGTGAGGGGACCACTGTGCCTCAGAGCTGTTAACCTCTGACGGTTCTGTGGATGAGAGAGACCGGGTTGTGGTCCGACGGACCAAGAGGAGCTGGCGGAATAGCACAGAGTCATTGGGCGAGCGTTTTGTCACCTCTCGTGGCAGTGAAGACTTGCTCCGTGTTAACTCAGAGGTACTTTTCTTCAGCTTACATGGTTAACACAAATACCTAAATTACAGTCTGGGTTTGAGCCTTCTGTGTGCGTGATGTGGGTCAGAAGCCGTGGCCCCAATCTCATTGAAAACATTAACAGCTGTCGAGATAAATGATTGCAACTGCACTTTGTGTCATCAGCCCTTCTACCGTATGTCCTGGGCTCATAGGTGCGGAAGCTGGAAGTAACTGGACGTGTTGAGCAACTCAGGCTTGAGGTCTTGCATAATGGATCAAATCTCTAGAAGATCCAGACTTCCATATTCAAAGGAAAAACACATGCTCTCAATTAAAGGAGTAGAAAAGATAGAGAGCAACACCGTGTCGCTTCAGGACTTTTCTGGTATCAACATATGAGGACATGACATGAAACAACAGCAGCACAGAATGCATTCAGAGTGTTTACTGTATTGAGACGACAGACTTTACAGGAAGCACCTTTAATCTATCTCTCAGGGGCCCTGGATTAAAGACTATCAGCACAGAGTACTGGTTGCTGGCAGTTTCAGTCTCAAAGGGTCAAGGCGTTAACCGTCCATACAGTTGGGTCTCTACAGGGGACACTGCCCAGGTCTTAGTCCTCACCATTGTAGCTGTGGACGGCTGTGATGTGCGGTGCACTGCTGTCACATCCCTCGTGGTTCTCCGAGGAGCTTTTGCCCAGTGGCAGGATGGACCGTGTGGTGCTCCACCACGTGTCCCTGCCAGGGGGAGGAGCTCCTAGAAAATAGCGGCCCGCCTCACATCGGCCTCGCTCACAGCTCTGACCTTGACCGTGTGCATGGAGCTGTGCGTAGCCGTCGCTGGCGCTGTGATGATGCTCTTCGGACAAGCTGTAGCAGAGCGTGCGGGAGTCGGGGACCTGCCTGTACACACAGGAGGCCTCCAGGCCCTCGCTCTGCTCCAGCAGCTGAGGGGAGGCGGAGTCTGTGAGTGGGCTGCTGCCCCACGGACTGTCCTGGTCCGACTCTGAGCGCTCCGTCTGGAAACTAGGATACTGCACAGAGAAAAGTGTGGAGGGAGACAATAATATCTATTATAGAAAGCCTCTATGAGCCACATTGGAGATGCTCAATACTTCTGGATGTTTGACACCTTATCAACCTGAGTTGTAAACAAACCAAGCAGCTGTTTAGAAACAAACAAGCTATTTAATAATCTGAGCACCTTCTCATCATTCATATAATGAATGTATTCATTAAAGTATTATTAGGCTTCTTGTTTTAATGTTAGCATTGTTTCTACTTCCACTGGTTCCCTAGACAGAGCTAGGGAACCAGTGGTTCGCTCTGTATACTTACTGGCTATCAAACGTTCCCAGGACAAGGCCAGACTCTGTGTCAAATTTGGGATAGTGCTCCACAGTTGAGATAGCGGGTCACATGACACACAGAAAAACGTTTTTCCCACACATATCCATCACAAACGAAACTGACTGAGCATCCAAAACAAATCAAATTTGTATTCAAGACAGTCACAGGTGTGAAGTAAACAGTCTGACAGGTTGTAGTCAAACTCATCTGGAAGAGGAAAGATGACCAAGTCAAATGATCACCCACAATCCATTATAGATTACAGATTCCTCTCCGGGTCTACTTTGGTGCACTAGTTGCACTAGTTTCCCTGTGAAATGAGGGTTTATTGCCAACATCACGAGTGCTCTCTACTGTGGTGCATTCAGGGTTGCTGTGGCAACAGGATCAGTAAGCTAGACGTCCCTCTTCAGAGCTACATCCAGTTCTTAGAACCGGAGGTGTTTCCAGGCTGTACAGGATAAAAAAACAAGCTCCAGAACCACCTCGACTGACTCTTTCACTGTTGGAAGAGCACACAGCCTCATGTGGAGGAACCTCATGTGGGCTGCATTCTTTCAGTCATTACACAAATGAAGTGCTTTAGATAATCTGGCTAACCTGTCATACTTGTTCCCAGATCTCATCAATGTTATCATAACCGATAGAAATGACAGACAAAACTACAAAAACAACAGCCAAGTCTGTCATACAGGTACCTCACCTGAGGAACTTCAAATTGCCAAAACAAGGCATCACACCTGAATGAGTAAGCGCTACAACAGGAGATGCTACCAAAATATGTAGTGCGTCATCGTGCGTGTGTCTTGAGGCTTAATGACAGTCCAGTAAGACATGCAATCCTCACCTGAGTGTATGGCGAGAGCCTAGCTTTGGTCTTGGGCCGGGAGACTCTGCTCTTGGGAGTTCTGCAGTTCTCCGTAAGGCTGGCGGTGCTGCTGCTGTAGGGGAAGGAGGCCTTGGACGTGGCCTGGTCCAGAGAAAGCTGCAGGCCTTTATACTCCGTCTCCCTAAAGACAAAAGCATAAGTCCATGCGGTGCATTCACAGTACTATTATTTATGTTTTTCATTTGCATGTCATAGATTTAATACGCTCTATAATTACACCAGGAGGGATCCCAGCTGCCTGGAAAGGCTGTTTATTAAAGAACACAAACAGCCCATGTGTACCTGCGTGTTTGGGTTTTCTCTTGGCGCAGAAACGCATTAACATCTGTTTAGCAATTAGAGCCTCATCATGGTGCTGAGAGGGCAGTGGGTTTGTGTTCCTGTGTGTGTGGGAGTGGTGGGGGTGTGCTGAGGGGGCTGGAACGGCTGTTGGGATGCTTGTTTTACCAGAAGGATTGCAGCAAGGCCTTCAACAAACACTCTACAGCGGGAGAGCTGTCCAATCAAATACACGGGGAGATTAAAGGCTATGTCTGGCTAAATCAGGCCCAGAGGAGAAGCTGGGATGTCTCACTCCGGGGAAATGGGAATTGATTTCCTGCTAAGGTGTTCTACAGATCTCACCACGTACGACCAGTTGATCTTGAGAACAGGAAACCTGGACAGGGTTTAGTTGAGACAAACAGTGACAAATGTTAGACCTTAGTGCTGCGTTCGACACCATTGACCATCACATCCTGTTACAGAGACTAGAACATTTGATTGGCATCAAAGGAACCGCACTAAGCTGGTTCAAGTCCTATTTATCAGATCGATCTCAGTTTGTAAACGATGAAACGTCGATGAACACCAACGTTAGTCATGGAGTTTCACAAGGTTCTGTGCTTGGACCAATTTGATTCACCTTATATATCATAGATCATATAGATCAAGCCAGATGAAACCAACCAGCTCGCTAAGGACATAAAAACCTGGATGACCTGCAACTTCCTCATGTTACACTCAGACAAAACTCAAGTTATTCTACTAGGCCCAGAACACCTCCGACATCAGTTATCTAATGATATAGTTTCTCTAGATGCCATTGCGCTGGCATCCAGCAGCACCGTAAAGAATCTTGGAGTTACCTTTGATCAGGATTTGTCTTTTAACTCCCAGATAAAACTAATTTCTAGGACTGACTTTTTTCACCTACGTAATATTACAAAAATCAGGCACATCCTGTCTCAAAGCAATGCAGAAAAATTAGTTCATGCATTTGTTACCTCTAGACTAGATTACTGCGATTCCTTATTTTCAGGCTGCTCTAATAAGTCTCTTAAATCTCTCCAATTGATCCAGAATGCTGCAGCTCGTGAACTAACAAGAACTAAGAACTAAAGAGATCATATTACTCCTGTATTAGCTTCTCTGCACTGGGTCCCTGTAAAATCTAGAGTAGAATTTAAAATCCGTCTCCTTACCTACAAAGCCCGAATTGGTCAGGCACCATCATATCTTAAAGACCTTATAGTACAATATTACCCTACTAGAGAGCTGCGCTCCCTAAATGCAGGATTACTTGTGGTTCCTAGAGTCTTAAAAAGTAGGATGGGAGCCAGATATAGTTAGGGCTGGCTCAGGTTTATAGTTAGGGCTGGCTCAGGTTCATAGTTAGGGCTGACTCAGGTTCATAGTTAGGGCTGGTTCAGGTTTATAGTTAGGGCTGGCTCAGGTTTATAGTTAGGGCTGGTTCAGGTTTATAGTTAGGGCTGGCTCAGGTTTCTAGTTAGGGCTGGTTCAGGTTTATAGTTAGGGCTGGCTCAGGTTTATAGTTAGGGCTTGCTCAGGTTTATAGTTAGGGCTTGCTCAGGCTTATAGTTAGGGCTGGTTCAGGCTTATAGTTAGGGCTGGTTCAGGTTTATAGTTAGGGCTGGCTCAGGTTTATAGTTAGGGCTGGTTCAGGCTTATAGTTAGGGCTGGTTCAGGTTTATAGTTAGGGCTGGTTCAGGCTTATAATTAGGGCTGGTTCAGGCTTATAGTTAGGGCTGGCTCAGGTTTATAGTTAGGGCTGGTTCAGGTTTATAGTTAGGGCTGGTTCAGGTTTATAGTTAGGGCTGGTTCAGGTTTATAGTTAGGGCTGGTTCAGGTTTATAGTTAGGGCTGGCTCAGGTTTATAGTTAGGGCTGACTCAGGTTCATAGTTAGGGCTGGTTCAGGTTTATAGTTAGGGCTGACTCAGGTTCATAGTTAGGGCTGGTTCAGGTTTATAGTTAGGGATGGTTCAGGTTTATATTTAGGGCTGGCTCAGGTTTCTGGTTAGGGCTGGCTCAGGTTTATGGTTAGGGCTCACTCAGGTTTGCCTTGGAAATATCATAATTTCCCAGAGCACCAGTTCTTCAAAATGCATGTTTAGTCCAACGACCAGTCCATTACCACAACGTCTTCAGTCCACCATCATACAGGACAGAGAAAAGCTGATAATCCTCACAGTGCACAAGCTTAAGTCAGACAATGTTCTGCATATCTGTTTGAAAAATTCCAATTGATTGTTTATTTGTTTCAGCTCTAGCCTATTATGTATATATACGAGTGCCCATTGGTTAATGCAAACATTGATTCAGAACCACACAGTGATGATACTGTGTGAGTGGATTCCATTGATTTAATAGAAAGAAATGGTTGCAATGTAAAGCATTGGTCCCCAACGTTTTTTATCATACACCCCTTGAAATGAAACTTTTAGAGGCCTGATGAGATGAAATGACCAAGTATATCACAAGAAAAACAGATAAGAGAGAAGTTAAATGGTCTGTCTTATCCTGTTAATTATTTCGCGATTTCTTCTGTGACATGTTGAGGAGTCCCACCTCCGAGGCTGAGCACTAGTGCTCTACATGACTTAATGTAAAAGATGGATAGATAGATAGATAGATGTATACTTTATTCATCCCCAGGGGGAAAAGCAACACGTAGAGCCCTATTCTCTCTTTCTTTGTATATACATGGATTGTTGAACGCACTAAATATGACATAATGAAAGTGTTTGTATTGGGTACTGATGCTGAACAAAGAGGGTCGGAGTGTGTGCGTTAGACAGCAGAGTGAAGAGTTAGTGCTGAACACAATAGGAGACAGCACTGATTAAACACACAGCGTAACTGTAAAAGGTGGGTATGCGCTTTTTGCTGCAGACATGCCTCTATTGCTAAATCACTGTCAGGATGTGGTGGTGGTAGCAGGGACAGGAGGTGCACAGGTTATCTGAGCTGAACACACAGTGGGAGTTCACATGCTGGTGAAGAGGCCTTATCACCGCTCTTATCCAAGCCTGCAAACACTAAAGCTACAGGAGGTTAGACGCACCCAACACTCCACAAAAGAGTTTGCTCCTGTCCACTTCCCACTGTCTGTCCTTCGTCCCACGTATCACGCAAAACAGAAAAGGAAGCATGCTGGCTCATTCCGTACAGTAGGGCTGCACAGTTGATCAAATGTTCATCGTAATTTTGGCTTCCTACAATAAAATGATCACGGTCGAGTGTTGTGTTTAAAATGCTCCTCTCAGAGAAAACTCTGCTGCATATCAAATCAAGCACTTCCTAAACTAACAGCCAGGGGACAGGGGACAATGGAGATGTTTGGGCTTCACTGTTGGGGAGCTGTGATGCTGCTGTGTGTGCACCCTGCAGCAGAAGTCCAGAGTAGAAGACTAATATACTGTCTATAGCCAAAGGAAAATGCACTGAATTCAGGTGAAGAAGAACTTTATTTGAAGTCTTATTTTGATGCAAATATGTGTCAATTAGCAGGAATGTAGCGGGACGTAAAAGTGAAAGCAGTGCTGTTTATTTCATTTTGTGTTAAAGGTTTTGATGAAAGATCATTTTATTTTGCTTCTGGAAGATTCTTATTTTGATGCAAAGGGCTGCATAGCATGGAAGTGACAGCAGTGCTCTGCTGATTTAAATGTGAAATGAATAATCGCGATACATGATCGTGATCTCAAAATCGACCAAAAGAATCGTGATTATCACCCTCACCTACAGCACCAGAACGAGGAGGGCAATACAGCTTGATGCCCCGAGCAGCAAACTGGAGCCCATGAACGCTCATCAAGTTCACAGCCCATCAATTAAAAGGCCGTGAACACAGAGCTGCTGTGGATGTGATGTAGGAGGGAGCTGCTCTTTATGGGCCGATTCATTCACACGCTCACTTGTACATCTGTGAAATATGCACATCAGGGGTAATAGAAAAATGAGATAATGGGCAGTAAACGGTATCCCTCACTTATTAATAAGAGCGTAATGATTACAGTTTGACTTTATTGGAAGGGATTGAAAAGTAGCAGCTTGTGATGAAGATTTTAGAGGCGACCCAGTGCTGTCAGACTGTTTGCGATAAGCTTCAGCGCCTGCTTCTGTTTATATATATTCTGCCAGTCTTAGATAAACTCCACCAGAGAGGCCTACACAGGTAACAGCCAGCACATGAGCACACAGACACCGAGACACAAGAGAGCAGACACCGTGATAGAGCAGCAATGTCAGCCTCCATCAAAAGAAAGAGCGGGAGAGTTCTGCTTCTCCTCAAATAAATCATCATCACGCTTCCTTTGTTTCAAACTCACAACAATAAAGAGTAAAAAACTGAATATGACTTCAAAACTTTCTTCATTGTCAGATTTTGCAAACATATATCACATATTTCCAATTAACCTCCCGTTAATTGCTTCACAGCAACTGTTTGCTTAAATCTATAGGACCAACCCTCATTATCTTCTCAACGCTCACACTGACAGTATAAGAGAGAACTGTGCTCACAGACTGTCCTCTGATCCACGTGTGCGTAGGACTCCCTAACATTCTCAGCTATTCTAGTGATAAACAGACATTCAACCGATAGTGAGTTTGTGTCAAAGACTTTTACATGTTTCCAACACTCACACTTGACGTAACTGGGATGTGTCTATACGCTGCTGTTAGGTCAAAAGGGCTGGATGGTCAGCAGTGGGCGTCTTCCATGCATCCATCACTTCTCTTTAATTATATCAAAAGGGGTCATGTTTCAGCCTTCACATCCATGCTGCTGCTGACGTGCTGCCTTCACTGTACGGCCAAAGAAGACAACGTAAAACAACAAACTCTCAATACGTTCTGACTTCTCTACACTGTCGGTGACGTTCCAACCCAAGCCTGTTGGCTCCTCCTGAAGACTCTCATCTTAAAAAAGGACCCAGATATAATCTTTCTTTATTCTATAAGCTCACTCGTTTCCTAACACAGAGGACACTAGTTTAAAACGAATGTTACTCAGACAAGAGGCCAGAGTACATTTGTTGGGCACATTTGGTGCTCTGTCAAAATAAGAGCATTACTATGGGAGAAGTAACTGGCTCAGCTCATCAATGGAGATGGAGATTTGTTGGATTTGTTTGTATTGAATGATTTGACCAGAACATGTCATTAGTCATTCTTACAATCTGTAAAGGGGGAGGGAGAACCTCGAAAGTAAATACCTAAAATAATAACAGCTGTGTTCACATCCGCTCAGCCACTGGGCTTAGAAAACGAGAAGACCCCTCGGCTCTGATTGGTTGATTTTCTTCAGGTGCCATGAGGAGCAGAAAAAGGAGTCAGAGGAACATGATGTTTCCTCAGACTATCTCTCTCATGTTCTTCTGTCAGTGGATACAGGGACAGTTTGAACAAATGGGACAAGTTATTCGTATTAAAGTTACCAACTGTAGCTGTAGCTCACTAGATCGCCAACCGTATGTGAATATATCACTGCAAACAGTAGATACAGCTCGTTGTGTCACACACTCTCAGTTAGTGACCATGACGGTCAAGTTGTGAGACACAGAGACAAATACTCACGTGAGAACATAGTTGACGCTGACGATGCAGTGAGGTCGAGATGAGCGGCTGTTGTGTACAATGGTTGCATAACTCTGAACCCAGACCCAGCCGCCTGGCTTGGCCAAGAAACGGTAGTACTTAGTAGTGACCTGACCTTTGACCAGTACTAGAACAAGAGGGGCAAGGAATTACAGCAGAGGATTACTGGGGGCAAAACAAATATATATCATAGCATTTACTAAATGACACATGTGAATGATTGAAATGTTACTGTCAATAAAACAGCTTCATATGAATGTATGTAATGAATGTATGTATCTATTGCCTAATGGTTTAAAGAACAATATAAGGTAATGTTGCATAAGAACATCACATGACCTGGCCTAACACAAGATAACATCATATCACACAACTAGAAAATATGAAGTAACATCATATAACGACATAACATATAAAACACAATACATTATCGAGTGCTGCAGGAATGAATCCTAAAACCAGGAAACGAGTCAGCATGTCTGCCCTTCGTCTCAAACTCAACAGGCTGTTCTTAATAGGTTCAATAAGGTCTGTGACCTGAACAGGTGGGAAATGTTTACAATTCAAATGATAATCCTCCCACAGGTCCTCTTCCTGTTTCAAACAATTCCAATTCCTGCAGTAAAATGGAACCAGGAACCATGCTAACTTCTGGGTTGGCCTGAAACAAACCGTGTCATCCATGTAGCACATTGTATAACCAGGTGAGCTGTGTCTGTTCTGGAACAGTGTGTGTGTGTAGAGAGAGATTTTGTAGTACGGTAAAACAAACCTAACTCACACAAGTGATGAGCACATCGCAGATGGAAGGAGTCACAGCTGTGGACGTGATGATAGAGAGTCTTCTCAATGAGATCCTGAGGCTCGTAGCCCGTCAGCTCTGCAACCCTGAGCAACACACACACACACACACACACACACACACGATCACATTCACTGGGTTCACTAAGCCTTCCCACTTTTACACACACTAACCACACCCACAACATATGTAACATACAAACAAGCAGAAGAAATCACAGCCAGAACACAGACCACTGTCAAACAGAACGTACCGTGAGTCCAGGAAGATGAGCTTCATGTCCAGGCTGGCTCTGAACATGAACATGTTGCTGTGCAGTTTGATCTCCGTCACGGCGCTGGGCGGCAGCGAGTGGCCGACAGCCACCAGCCCCACGTTCTGATAGCAGCCGTCAAACGGAGACATGTCCAGGCTGTACTGACGGATCTTCAGGTAGCCACTACAGTGGATCACCTGGACCAGGAGTTGACAGACGGATCAATCCATACAGGTTTACTGTTGCCCTTTAGAGTTTGATCTGCCACTATTAGTAATTCATCAATGAACATGAATGATTACCAAGTTCTGTTTCTGTTCTTCCTTTTTAAAAAGACATTCTCAGCCTTAGTTTTACTCCAGTAGGAAATAAGTTATGGGTTCTTTGTGTGAAGTATGTCACTCTGAACCAAACATACAACACATACGCAGCGTTGTGTACCCAGGTACTACTCTGCATCTTGTGTTCAGACAAACGGTTGAACCTTGAGGCCAACGTGGAGAATTCCTGCTCACATAAATGAAAAAAGTTTGAACATCTACAGTTCCATGACAAGTGAGAAAACTCCATCTGCTGCTGAGGATCATGTGAAACCATCAGAGGCTCTGGATCCAAGAAGAAGAAGAATCATCTCCTATAGTGTCCATGAGCCTTGTCAACATGCTATGGATATTATGTCTCCAGAGGATGAACCCTCATGATGTTGGTGACTTAACCTTTCAACTTGTCAACGCCATTAGGTAAAAGATTCCACTTTTATAGAAATAAATGACATATTTCAACAGGCTTGTTGCTCTGAAATTGACTTGTCACATTCATGCTCCCTAGAGGGTGATCCCTCTGCAGTCTGGAGACACTACTAGCACCACCTCCAGGACAAAATGTGACCGTTGCACACAAGAAAGCATGTAATCTTATAAGAAAATCAACCTTGTTGAGCAGAATCCTGTTTGCACTTTGTATTTTGGTAAATGGAATGTACTTGTTTAGCTCTCTTCTAGTCTTCTGACCACTGAAATCACAAGACAGGTGCACAGCCCTCCTACCTTGTAGCCTCCACAGGTGAGACCAGCATTTCTTTTAGCAAGGACACATTTCATTCTCAGAAAGAAGGAGCGTTCCATCTCATACTCTGCAGAGTTAAAAGACACGCATGTTATTATGCTGCATGATGGGTCCTTGTCATATACAGAGCAACACGCCTGGGGGTCGCTTACCGTGGACGAAGTGTGAGTGGTAAGGCTGGTGTGCTGTGAGGACGGCTGTCATTTCATCATGGTCTGCTGGATGGATGTATTCATAAATGCTGTTTCCAGTCAGCTCTACCTGTTGAAATGAACATTCACCTCAGAACTGTGACTCGCCAACACACCAGAGGACATCACACACAGTTCGTCAAACCAACCTGCGACAGGCCCAGGTGGACCGATGCTGTTTCTGAAATGTACATTATTTTACCATCCGGAGCAACCACGAAGATGAAGCCATCTAATGTCTGAAAGGAACAGCAACAACAGATATGAATACATATTTAATATCAACAAAGGGCAGAAAATAATTATCCTTTAATAAAATCAATGTTATTGTGTTAACGTGTATAAACTATACTGTCTAATTATTATGATTACATCATTAAACTCTGTCACAGCAGACTGATTGTTGTAACAACATCATGAAAAAAGTTTGAAGACATGAAATGAACAAAAATAACAATGTAGCTCTAAAGGAACAGCTGAACTACACAGTTCATACCCGTTGATATGGTCAGCTCACACTAATGCTGCCTGGTACTACAGCCCTGCAGTACAGCCCTCGGTCCTCCACCTTAGCTAGGTGTAGCCTACCTAAAATACTCGCAGGTCAGAGGAAGACTATACTATTATCAGCATTTGTAATATTAACTGATAAATGGAGTCTCTGGAGAAATGAAGCGCTGATTTAACCAGCAGTGTGTTTCCCTCGCTGCTAGCTTGTAGCTCTAGCCCCCTCTTGTAGCAACCATGGATGTATAAAGAGAACTGGATGCAGTCATTGTGCATGAAGCAAAATACAAATCTTCAGCGTCCATGGGCCCATAGAGCTGCTCTAGTGGTTCCTTTCACTGTGCTTCCAAACCCTGGCTCCAGCCTTGGTCTCATTCACAGGAACACAGGAAGGAAAACAACTCTGGATTCAGCTTTTAGAACCCAGTGATTTAAATAAGGGCTGTTCAAGTGTTCGTACTGGGAAGTTGACTATCTTGAATGAAAATGGTCCACTAAGTTACAGACGTCTCTTTTCAATGTAAGTCGATGGGGGAAAGTCTTTCTGCGCTGGCGTCACGTGACGGACCTGGGACTTGTAATTCCACCGTTTGGCCACTGTGTAAAATCTGCTTCAAAGCCCGGTGCTCTTCCTGGGGTATTGGTAACCACTTGTCCTTACTCTGTAGTGGTCTTTGGACAGCACACAGTCCTATTTGTCAAACCAGCTGACCTACAGCCCTAGATGACTATCCTGTAGACCTGTTTGAAAGCATGTAGCCTCGTGGTTTGGAACGTTTGACAGTCCTGTAGACCTGATGGCTTACATGTAGCTCAGTTTGGCTCCCTTCTATGTCTGTGTGACCAGAGCTAGCCAACCTGTGGTCTCCGTGGCCAGCCTGCAGCCCTGTAGCCCTGAAGTCTTGTAGTCATGTAGCTTTGTAGACCTGTAGACTTGTAGACCTGTAGCCTTGTAGACCTGTAGCCTAGACCTGTAGACCTGCAGCCCTGTAGCCCTGCAGGCTTGTAGCCCCGCAGCCCTGTAGGCTTGTAGGCCTGCAGCCCCGCAGCCCTGTAGCCCCGCAGCCCTGTAGGCTTGTAGGCCTGCAGCCCCGCAGCCCTGTAGCCCCGCAGCCCTGTAGGCTTGTAGCCCCGCAGCCCTGCAGCCCTGTAGGCTTGTAGGTCTGCAGCCCCGCAGCCCTGTAGCCCCGCAGCCCTGTAGCCCCGCAGCCCTGTAGGCTTGTAGCCCCGCAGCCCTGCAGCCCTGTAGGCTTGTAGGCCTGCAGCCCCGCAGCCCCGCAGCCCTGTAGCCCCGCAGCCCTGTAGGCTTGTAGCCCTGTAGCCCCGCAGCCCTGTAGCCCCGCAGCCCTGTAGGCTTGTAGCCCCGCAGCCCTGTAGCCCCGCAGCCCTGTAGGCTTGTAGCCCCGCAGACCTGTAGCCCCGCAGCCCTGTAGGCTTGTAGCCCCGCAGCCCTGTAGCCCCGCAACCCTGTAGGCTTGTAGCCCTGCAGCCCTGTAGCCCCGCAGCCCTGTAGGCTTGTAGCCCCGCAGCCCTGTAGGCTTGTAGCCCAGCTCCACTGCGTTGCTGCTGATGTTAGAGGGGCTTTAGGACAGACTGAGGCTCTGTGCGTGACCAGGAATGTGTTCAGCTCATTTCACTCTTAAAGCACAAGAATGACGGCAGCAGGAGGCAGACGACACCAAACCACACTCACATACACACACACACACACTCACTCAACACACACACACACACACTCACTCAACACACACACACACACACACACACACACACACACACTGTCTACCTATAATAATAAAAACATACATTTCTTGTCAGGGTAAATGTTACAAAGGGCTCAGCTTTAAATATGTTCTAATGCTTCTTCTACTGAACATTTCAGGGCCTAAGTGACCAAAGCCCAGAGCCCACATCTATTCTTCCAGTTGTTTTGAAAGTGCAGAGCTGAGAACAAGCAGTGTTCACCTGTAAGAGATGGGCGCCCAGTTCCTGGTTGACTCCATCCACAGAGCTGCGGCTCACATGACCCCAGGACTCCCCAAGGCCTGCAAACAAACCACACGCACGGGGAAGACAAGAAACGAAATGTCAGAGTTTACAATGAAAGCTGAGGGGAAACAATAAAGAGAGGGTTTAGCCTGTACGTCTGCTATTAATAACAGAAGTAGATTCATGATTAGTCCTTTTATTGTAGGGGCACTATCACTACAACAGATGAGGCTTTAATTACAGAAAAACAAATACTGGTAAGAAACTGATTTTACACACTAAGGCCTTTTTCATTTATTATTTAGCACACAATTATTGAATATAATTTTAACACAGTTAACTGCATCATATGATCAAAAAGAGAAACATTGGATCAATAATAAAAGATTAACACAGTTTTTGTGTCAATTTAATACATAAATCCTACAAGCTGTATCTCCTGTATAATGTAAATAAATAATAAATATGCATATATATATGCATATCCATATGCTGTACATATTTACACATTAAATATATTTCTTTGCACTATTTATATTGTTTGCAACTTACAAAAACACATATTGTGTATTTTTGTTAATGTTATTGGTCATTGGTGGTGTTTCTCTCTCTATATATATATATGTATATATATATATACATATATCTATATGTATATATACTGTACATATATATGTATCCTGCCTTTATTTGTCCAGATTCGTTGCCCTTGTTATTTGTATTAAATAATAAAGCTCTTGTCCCATGCGGCTAGCAGCTTATTATAAATACCGTGTTTCACAGATGTGTACAGACAGCACCAGTGTAAAGTCAGCCCGCTGTGTTGATAGGCAGCTCTAGAAATTAATCGAGTTATTGTAAATGTAGCATGAAAATATATGAGGTGAAAATAAGCCGTGAGAAGGCGCGAGGCACAGAGCCACGCAGACAGAGCGCACCGGACCCGTTCACTTGCACATCCCGCCGCCTCGCGCTTCATACGGAGCTCATATGGACTTCACGTCGGTATAAAGCGACCCGATGAAATGAGCCCACCAAACAGCCACATGGAGGGACATGATGCTCATAAGCCGGGCCTACATATAAAGACAGGACCTAATAACGAGTGTACTATGATGTCACCAGCTGGCTCTCACGCGCCCGCAATGCTTCAATTAGGCCCCCATAATAATTATAATAGACCAAATTATTATAATAATTATTAGTTATTATTGAAAAAGTGCTGTGATTGTGAAAAAAACGAGTCAATGAATTCCCAACCGGAAGAAAAGAAAACATACAATAAATACAAATGCCGTTCATATCCTGCTTATATTAGATTAAGGTTAAAAAAACTCAAACGACAGAAAACGAAAAGCATGTTGCTGCAAATAACCAGCGACACAAAGAGACAGCGGCACGCGGCACATACAGCTATGTCTGGAGCACGTGCTTCACAGCAGCGCTGTTGTAAAGAATAATGAGGCTACAGTGATATATATCTATATCTATACATCTGTGATGTCCACATACATTCATTATTACAGACAGGAGGGTTCTGCTGCAGCAACGAACGGTCATCTTGAACCTAAACCCAATAAAACGCGCGTGCGTTGATGACGTGAGGGACTTTTATTGTGAAGTTGGTGTGCAGGCTGCAGGAGTCAGCAGTCTGCACATATTCCTCTATTAATATACATTTACATCCACGCAACGTGTTACTCACTAATCATTTTCATTACGCCATTATCTCCATTATGTCATTTATCAACAAGCCTACCTCGAATGCTTATTATTATGTTTGAATCATTATTATTGTTGTCATTATTTCATCGTTATTAGAAGTGTCCGCGTATTATTATTGTTGTCATTATTTCATCGTTATTAGAAGTGTCCGCGTGTTAACCCTTAATAAGTCTATTATTCGTGACCCGCGCATCGACGCACAGTGAGGCGGGTACATTCAGAAGGAAAACGTTCAATTAAACACATTCTTTTTCATATATACATCTATATCTATATAGATATAGATGTGAAAAAGAATAGATATAGATATATATATATATATATAGACATATACACACACATACGGAATTGATTTGGAAGAAACGTGTTCAAATAACTAAATTATATTAATAGATTATAAATACATTTTGTAAATCGATCACAATTTGAGAGCATAAATAATTTGCACAATTAATTCAACATTGAAAAATCCGTTCAGGTCAGCAGCGGCATAGAATTATAATCATCAAAGTTAACACATTGTAAAACATAATTCAAATGTAATGATAATAATTATATTGATCATAATTAAAGCATTTGTGTTTATTGAAAATAAGTCTTAAGAGTAACGGTGAGGTGAGGTTCTGACGTGTTGAGAACATGACGCAAACAAAAAGCTCCCGTGGACTAAGTCCCGTCATAGAACAGCAGCCACGCAGTCCCGTTCAAAAGGAGGAACCATGAGCTGGATTTATGATTTTAGTTTTTGTATCACCATAAAAAGATGTAAATGACTGTAATACACAGTACAAGTTCTCTGAAGTGTGTGGGGCGTCATGTAATTTAACCCAGGATGGACAACATGGCTGAGGTCAAAAATCACACTAGTGACCACTCTGAGTGTCATAACCCCCCCCCCCCTGCTTTAAACCAGCAGAAGGGTTCAACACAACCTGCTGCCTGTGAGCTACATGCTCCTTCAATAATTCAGAGAGCTTGTTGCCACATGTGAAACAGCAGACATCTTCCTGTGAAGCTCTGCAGAGAACACATTCATGCAGACACATGTCTCTGTACTGAGCATGGATCTCTCTCTGCAGTACAGTGTGTAGGAGAGAAGAAGACCCCAGACCCCCAGACCCCAGACCCCATCCATCAGTCCAATTCATCCGGATTCTACACCAAATATTTACAGCTCATGTTGCCTGGCTGTTTTTGGAATCCTGCTGTGGTCCAATCATAAGAAGTCTCTTTTAAGAAGCCTACATGGTATTGTGTGCGTTACAAGTAGAACCTGCAGTATTTCTATCTCACTTTCTCTCTTCCACCCAGCCATGTACATAATAATACTTTGATTTCAAGCTGATTGGATATGATCAAATAACTGGATCCACCTGCCTCGTGTTGTGTATATTTGCAGTAATATCTGGTTATATTTTTATAGTGGAGATATAAAAGACATTGTCATTAATATAGAAGTATAATACAACTATCCAGCTGATCCTTCTTCCCTGTATTTGTTACCTCTATGTTGACAGTGGCTGTGGTAATATAATGGTAATAATGAATAATGTGCTCAGTGGTCATCACAGATTTAGAGTAAGAACACAGATACTTGTCATGCGTCCTGTTTCCTTTGTCCTGCTCTACTGTTACAAGGAGCTCCATATGTGGAGGATCACACGTGCACGCACTAATATCCGCGGCTCTGCAGCAGTCACGCAGGATGGAGCCTCAGCTCAGCTAATCTGCAAGCAGGGCCCGTCATGGGCCCCGGACAGACGGACGGAGGGACACAGGAGACTTCTGCTGCTGACTCCATAAATGAATTGACTCATGTATATATAATAGATACTGTATTATGAGACAGATACTACTGGCACTCCAGGGAGAGATGTTTTAATACCACGCGATCAGGACAGATGTAATAAAAAAGGCATTATTCAAAATGTTTCTATTTCCTTTAGAATAAGGCTATTTCAGGGATTAAGAGCAGCCTCCCGACGGCTCTTATTCATGTACAGACTATTGTACCGCGGCTGTGTTTAATAGGTCAGTCACATTTAAACCGAGGAGAAACTGCTTTTTCATTTATTTAAACTGATGAAAAAAAGTTACAAATTACCAGCTAAGAAATTACTTTTAGCCACTTATTAAAAAGGACAACGGAAAATAAAAAGATTTAGTGTTCAAACCGTATTATTTAAAAGAAAGAAAATACTGAAGAAGAATCACGCAGATGCTACTACTATTATAGCCTGTGACAATACAATATCAACCCTATTTATAGGAATAAGATCAGCAGTTTATTTTCACATCTATTCATATAATTGTATCTATAATTATATATATACAATATGACACCGTAGTAATTATTATGTTCTTGTTTATATCAGTATGCTCTTGTACTTGTATTTTGATGAAGGCCAAAGGTTCTTCTTTTTGTTGCCTTGTTAATAATGCCCATGAGTTAGGCTCTCTATATAATAATCTTCATAATAATCTCACCTTCAGGAAACACCACTCTCATCTTCAGGTAGCTCGTGGTCAGCCGGATGATGGACGCTTTGTCCAGCTGGGAGGTGATGGCGGACGGAAGCGGCAACAGTTTGGCCAGTTCATAAAACTCACTGTTCTCCTTCTCCCGCCGGGTCCGCGCGGCGTTCTTCGACTTCTCCTTCATGGTGTCGCCTCTGCTCGTCCACTGTCGGTCCCGCTGCGGTCACTCAGTGTCCAGGTGTCTCATAGCCGTCTCCACGCATAGAACTAGATGTGTCCCTCTGGTCCACCTAAAATCCACAGCTGTCGGCGCGTGAACACACTCCCATATTTCCAGGTGTTCCAGTGGTTTGCGACGAGCGGGAAGCGGCTAATTCCTGGCTTTGTGAGGGTTCTTGTGGCGCTCTGGTCAGCCCATTGGGGGCCTCACCGCAGACTTGGATCCATCACACCTGGTGTTGAGAGCCGCTGGGGTCATTGGGCCATGGAGGAGGACACATGTGGGATAGAGACATTATCTGGGTGAGCCATCACTTGGTCCGTCTATAAAACACGATACTAAGTCACTACGTACAACTACCAAGGACACTTGTTTGAATCCATCTACACAGTGTAGTGGCGCTACTTTTAAAATTCACATTTGACTACATGCTTGTTCGCTTACCTCCGCGCAGAAGGCCGACAGTTAGCTAAACTGACGCCCGTTGGGCTTCAGTGTCCGGCAGAATGTCTCCATCCTGTGCGCTTCTCTGGACAGGAGAGCATCCCTTCTCAGTGCTGCGGGCTCGAAGACCCGCCCACTGCAGGCAACACTTCCCCTATTGGACGATTGGATAACCTATTGACCTATCTATTGGCTAGTCCGTATAATGACGCCCTTCAGAAGGAACGGGGATTGGCTGGTGAAAACATTCACCTCTGGCACAAACTGGAACGAAAAATCCCCCAGAGTCCGTTCACTCTGCGTAGATCTCCTCAAAAAATATGTATTTTAAAAGATTTAAAGGCTATCAAAAAAGTACATATTTAGTAAAGATTGCTTTAAAGCCATTTAACAATCTGTGGGGATTCTCTTTCACTTGGCACACATTGGCCTGACTAGAATTATATATTTTCATTTTCACAATGTGTCCAATATTATTACCGCTTCTCACATCCAACACAACGTTTACAATTGTTAACGGTGGCAAGCAGTGTATTTTAATATGTAGTACAGAAATGTCAATTTTACCAGCAGATTGAAACAATTTTTCAAAAGAAAGTCTCGACCTATATTGTGTGGATGATGTGCCACATTTGAATGGAGTTATGATTATTATATTCCTGTGGAGAGAGAGGCGTCCTAAACCGGCAGAAGATCCAGAACATGCGCAGTTCAGCGGTGCCGCTGGTGCTGATGTGTTATTTCTTCAGTATGTTTATGGCCTATGACACATAACATAGAACTACAGCACGTGCTCTCGGCCTAAAATCAAAGTGGAAAATGTTTTCCACATTTTGGATGTTAAACTTATTGTCTAAGACGTTGTTCATCTTAGCAGTTCGAGTTGGAAAATGATACATAATATATATACATGTTTATATAAATATATATTTCTATATATCTATATATATATAAATATATATATATAAATATACATATATAAATATATATATATATATATATAAATATATAGATATAGATATATATCTATATATATAAATATATAGATATAGATATATTTATATATATATATATATAGATATATATATATATTTCTATATATCTATATATTT